TGCCTGCTGAGCTACAGCGCTTAAATCAAGCTTCTCTGGAGAGAAGGCAAGGATAGCTTTTAAACCAGCAGCAGGAACCAGGGGTTGGAAAGAACAGTCTGTATTACCCAGGTGAAACTAGCTGGCCCTTGTATCTCAGATGACAGTTCTGCCTTACCTGTTTCTGCCTCCCCAGAATCCATCTCCCAGGCAGACCCCATAGCCAAAGCTGCTAGTATTTATCCCACCAGGATCACTAGGAGCTTTCTCCCTCCTCATATAGCTAAAGGGTGGAGGAAAGGAATCTCAGGAAGGCCAATGAATGTTCCAGGCCCAAGTTATATCTCCATATCCAAAACAAGAAAAGAAGCCGCAGGTTTCTGACTTAAAGTGGAAAGAGTGTCCCTGCTCGCTAAAGGTTCCCCATAGCACCCCTCCATAGGCACAGATTACCAAAACAGCCCTTTTACATGAACTGGGCTTAAACAGGTAATAGAAAGCTTGCCAAAGATCATGAGAACAAAGAGGTCTGCCATAATATTATAACCAGACTAAGCACTTCTAGGCATAAAAAATTAGGTGAAAGTTCACAGACATGCTCTAAAAAAGTAATGTTACAGCCTTGTTTTTTCAAATAGTGGAAAGAATAAACAAAAAAACAACACACAAACCACAAAACATTAAGTCACATGTCACCAACTCAGGTGTAAAAAAAAACCAAAACAAAAACAAAAACAACCCCACCCCCCCAAAAAAAAAGAAACAACACAATAAAACTAGAAATCTTAACCTAAGAGCAACAAAAAAACAGAGCAACCCACCCCATATGCATAGCCCCACAGTACCTAAACAGAAACACTACCCAAACAAAAGAAAACAAACCAGCAATAAATCATCAAGACTAACAAGAAAAAAAGTAAAATTTACAAGACAGTTACCACTGAAGATATAAGTAACCATCAACACCGGCCTGAGCTTAAATGCAGAGCTGGGGCCAATGGGGAAGGGTGTGGGAGTGGTGGAGGCTCCAGGTGAGGCCATCAGGGAGTTGAGGACCTGCTGGGGCACTCTGAATATCAGCACCTGAAACCGATCAGCTTTGACACCTCCACTCACATCTCCAGTGCTGGCTTCCCAGCAAGGCTGTCAGTATCCTTCCAAGCAGAGGATGCAGCAGAAACATCAGCTCAATTTAGGATGTGTCCAGGTGTCTTTTCTGCAGTGAACGCGCAGTGAGGGCAAGCAGTGAGAAGTGTGTGTGTGGTGTGTGTGCTGTTCACAGACTTACCTTACACACGATGGTCTTTGTGATTCATACCTTTAGGTCTGACTATGTGGTGAGTCCAGTCCTTTTTTTTTCTCATGATAGTAGGAAAACAATTGAGGGGCACAGACTGTGAACTGAATGCTTACTACTTGATTTGTTTACTGTCTTTCAAATCAATCAACAAGAGTTGAAATTAGAAGGAGCCATTTAAAATAATCAATGTGGGGACAGACAGACAAGGGAGAAACATTTTTATCTTTTCCAGATCCCAGACCCATCCCAAGCACAATAAGTGTAAGTACCAGGCTGTCACGATTTGCGACCAGCAGCATGGATGGCTGTAGCAGAACCGAGAAGGTCTCTATGGATTCTATATATGGGAGAATCAATCTCACACTTCTATTGGGTACGTATGTTTTGTTATACACCTCAGAATATATCGTGAGGCTTGTTACAGTCCCATCTGGCCTTGACAAATTAAAAAAGTGATCTGAAATTTGAAACACCTCATTCAAAAGAACTCTTTTCTGCCAGGAAAAAATGGAAACGTCCCTGTTCAGCTGGGAGTGCTGGTTTTGTGTGTGTGTGAACACTGAGATGTGCTGCTACCTTGCCTGTGGAAGTCTGTGACCAGCAGAGCAGGAGTCAGATTTGTCTCCAGGGTGAGTTGCTCATGGATGTGATAGTGTGAGTATTTGCTTTGTATTCCTCAGAATGACTCACAAAGTGTTGATGCACTGTGGGGCTATCTTGTGGTCTAACTTCTCATTTGAAAGTCTTTTAGTTTTTTCTTTTTGAGTGTAAGGGCATGATTTATGTCGCAGCAGTGATTTCTGGCTGTTAAGTCTGGGAGCTCGTCAGTAAGAAATACCAGGGAAGAAGGAAGCTGTGGGTTTATTACCCCAAGGAAAAGAAGAGTGAGTTAGTAACTTGGTGGGATTTTAGGACAGCACGACATGATGTGTTTCTGATGGGGCTGGTGGTTTTCAAAATTCCCCGGAGTATTAGAAAGCCTTCACCTGGAACAGTCTGTATGAGTCAAAGCCCACATGTTCAGGAAAGGTTAATTTTAAACAAATTCACAGAGATGCTGCTGAAGGACTGGAAGAGGACGCCCTTTGTAGGAGAGAAACTGCAAAGAGCTCCCCATTGTGTAGCCCAGACAGCACATGCTGAGGCAGGATCTCGTTTTTCAGTGTTCTTGAATCTCAGAAGTAAATACCAGGAAGCAAAACCAACATGTTTAGCTACAAGAAAGCATTGAAAGGGTACCTATTGTGTATAAGCTGGCAATGAGCAAATTTAGGTAGAGAATTAGAAAGCTTCTTCATAGGAAAAACATAAGCAAAATGTACTCCCAAATATTTTTAATATGGGATTTTTTCAGCTTGAATGGAATGCTCTCTTGCTAATTCTGAACTCTCAGTGAAGCCAGAGAGATTACTGGGCAGCCATCCTGACGTGGTGATATTTGCTGAGTGTCAGCAAGCACACTCTGACCTGTGCAGGCAAGGAAAGCGGCAACACTGGAAAAGGTTTCTTGAGTGGTATTTCAAAAACTAAAACAGCCAGCTTTTACACCTCATGCTCTCCTTCCTCCCGGTGTAGCATAACTGCCCTTTCTCTCCATCTTTTATTAAATAAGAATTTAAAATGAAAATGGTTGTGGCTACAATAATTTTCTGTAGCCAGTGACAATAGCTGTAAGTGGAGATTTGTTTTGAGTCAGATGGGTCGCTCAGGGAGGAAAATGGGCCTGGAATGACTTTGTTGGTGTCTGAAGAGTACAGAGTTTTTTAGAGGGGGTAAAGAAATGAGGGAAGCATTACTTCTAGTAACTGAATGCAGAAGCTTAGGTGGGCTCAGCAGTGCAGATATAGGTGTGATCTAAGATGTAATGCGACTGCAGAACAGCAGAGTTTGATATGAGACACTGGCGACCTTCAGCATTTGATTTCATTAGCCAAATGTGACATTACACTGGACAGCCTTGAAAACTGCGTTTCAGCTACAGGGAGACTGCATCAGAGGGGCAGGTAAGTCCTGGATGCTTTTAAGCACATTTCTAAACACAGCATCTTAAAAAAACAAACAAACAAACAAAGAAAACAAAACAAAACAAAACAAACAACTGGGTTTCAGTCTGAAGAGGCAAGGGAGGACCACCATTGCTGGAAAATTGCGCTGGAAATGGGGTTTAGGCATGCATTCATTTCTGCCTTAATTTCTCCCTGTAAAAGATGTTCTACTGACTTGCTGTGGCTTAGAAGGGAATGACCACATACAATGCTGAAGCTTGTTGCAATTGCAAACCTGTCTTTTGGGTTCATTTCTGTGCTTAACCTCACTTGTGGCAGACTGATGCTAATCTGTAGATGGTTTCTTTTATGAGCTTTCTCTTATTTGCACGATGGACACATCCATCTCTGGGGAATAAGTATCTTGTTCTCCCTTATTCTGTACAAAACTCACTTCTCTGTGCTTTCTGCTGCTACCCCATTGCTTGTGGATGCGGGTTACTCAGTTTTCATCAGAACTAACAGCAATTGGGCTTCCAGGTCCCTGGGCAGTCCTGAAATTATTTTCTCACAGTACCCAACTCCTAGTACAGCACTTGTTTCCTCTGCAAACTCTTGCTGGCTCCCCCATCTCCCCTGAAATAGATGCAGACAGTGCAGTGTCATTGATTACCCTGGGATGTTATTAATGCTCTGTGGGATTGGACTAGCGTGTCCTCAGTCCTGCTAGCCAGGAAAGGCTGCTTTTGCCTGACAGCTTGCTCCATTTGGAGAGAGGCAGAAGCTCAGGTCTCCTCTGCTCCCCACTCCCAAGCGTTTCAAAATGTCACGTTTTGTCTTCTTCCTCCACCTGTGCATTATTCCTTCTGCGAGTGATGGGTGTTGAAAACAGATAGCTGGAAGCGAGCTATCTGCTGGGTCTCTTTGAAATAACCTCAGAGGTCCCTCCAGCAGGTAGCGACTAACTAAAGGCTGCCAGCTTTGAAACACCAATCCTTGGTCCGGTTTTGGGCCCTTTCCCAAGAAGCTGGGCTCCGTGACAAAAAGGATTTGCACGCGCTGGGTGAGTTCTACACGATGCTAATAGCCAAGGCATTTGTTAGGGTGTGAGGTGCCCTCACAGCTCGGACAGGACGGGCTCCTGCTGAGCGCACGCTTGGGTTTGCGCTCTGCCCTCCTATCCCAAGTGGGGGAGGATGGAAGAACTCTGGGGAGAAGGGAGGCCCCCTTACCCCCACCCCCAAAAAAATCCCTAGAATCTGACAGAAACGGGTTTACCGACCGAAGCGGGGCCGAGGGAGCGGCCCCGCCCCGCGGCTGCCTGGCTGCTGCGGTGCCTCCGCTAGGCGGCGCCACCGCAGAGGGGTGGGACACCGCTCCCGTCCCTCCTCGCTATTGGCTCTTCCCGGCAGCGCCGGCACCGCTGATTGGTCGGCGAGGCCCGGGGCTGACCCACGCCCGAGGTTTTCCTAAGCCCCCCTCCCACCCGGGACGCAGTACCGCCGACCGCCGCCAGGGGGCGCCCCCCGCCGCGGGAAGGGGCGGGGCCGCACACGCAGCTCCCGGGGGGTCCCGGCGGGAACGTGGGGGGTCCTGCGTGGGGAGGGGGGGCCCTGCCGCGGCCAGCGGAGCCCGGCTCCGGGTCACCTGGAGGAGCCCGTACCCGGCCGCGGCTTGGGGCGGGCTCTGAGGGGGGGGGGTGGGTGCCCCCGGGGCGCGGCGTGGGGCTGTGGGTGCGGGCGCTGCCGTGCCGGGAGGGCTCCTGGGGCGAGTTAACGCGTTTTCGGTGCAGATGTTGGGGTCCCCGTGTAACGCGAGCACCGCCGGATTTGCCGCCGTCCCGGGACGAGACGTTTGGCCGTTACTGCGCTGGGCGGCACCCATCGCCGGCCCCGGCTGGCCGGGGGGGTTCGGGCAGCCCCGGCGGGGCGATCCCCGGGCACCGGGGCGCGGTGTCGGCGCCCGGCCCCCCAGCCTGGGGCGCCGATGGACGGGATTTCCTGGGGAGCTCCGAATCGGGGGAGCGGGGCCGAGCCGCTCGTTCCTGCCCAGGTGACGGGGAGGAAGAGGAGTCGGGAGGAGCCACCCGGAGCTGGAGGCACCGGCCGCGGCTCCCCCAGTTTTCTCTTGCCGGGGGTTGGCTGTTGGTTGGTTTGGGCTCCTCTTTGCTTCATGTCCAGCTCCTGGATGGCTCCAGTTCGGTTTTGCCACCGGTTTGAGGTCCAGCTCCAGGATGGCTCCAGTCCGTTTGCAGCTCCAGCTCACGGATGGCTTTGCCCAGTTCCAGCCTCTGGTCCTTGTGGCTCCAGCTCAACTGCAGGTTGGTTGTTTCTACCCCCATTTTGTTTCTGGTCTAGCTTGTGAACAGCTCCACTCTGCAGTTTTGGGTCATTGTTTCTGTATGTTTTTTTTCAGGTCTGGCTCCAGTTCAGTTTTGGCTGCAGCTGCTCACCTTCACCTCCACCTTGGTTTGCTCCCTCAGCTCATTGGATTTGGGTCCAGCTCCCAGCTGGGTCCAGCTCATCTTCTTCTCCAGTTGATGTGTGGCTCCAGCTGGTTTTCACCTCCAGCCAATTCCAGCTTGTGCTTAAAACTATCTGGGCTTTGGGCAAGGTCATAAATCAATCACAACATGTATATGAACTGTCATAAGGGTACACAGGTTGGCTGAGTCATTACTGAACAATAAACACACGCTATGGGGTGGTTGGACACCCCAAAACACTGTGAAAAACACCTTTCGCTCCAGAGACTATCATCTCAGTCGTTTAATTCTCGGCCTGGTCCATGCCACCTCCAGTGGGGGCCCAGGCACCCTGCCCACCCACTCCCACCCCCATGTCCACCCGCTCCCCAGGACTACCGTTCCCTCTGGGGCCCCCCAAGCTGGTTCCCAGCTCCCCACCCCACTCCTTCTGGGGGAAACCCCCAAGACCGGGCCAGACACTGAGCCCCAAACCGACCCCCACTCACCCGCCCCGAGCTGGGGCACCCCCAGCCCCGCCACTGCCCCCTGAAGCTGGCCCGAGGCTTCGAGCCCCCAACGCCCCGGGGCTGAGCCCCGGCCCCGCCGGGGGCGGGCGGGGCTGCGGGGCGTCAGGCTCCGGCCCTCGGGGTTTTATTCCCCGGCGCCCCGAGCCGGCTGTTCCACGGCGACACGGGCAGCGCTGCCCCCTCAGGACTCGGCAGCTGCCGCCGCCGCCGCCGCCGCTCCCACCCCCGGGCCGGGACCCCCACGCCTCCCCGGCTCCTCCGCCGCCCCAACCACGAACCGACTAACGCGGGGGCGGCCGCGCCCGGGGCCCAAATCAATTCGGCCCCGCCCCGCGCAGCCGCATTGGGCCCCTCGGGCCAAGGCCCCGCCCCGCGCACGCGCCCCGAGGCCCCGCCCCTCCGCGCCCGCACCGCCAGAGCGGAGCGAGGACCGGGCCGGGACCGTGGGGCAGCCCCGACCGGTGCCCGCCTCTCCGCGGGCGAGCGGGGCCCGGGGCTCATCCCGCTGTCCCGGTCCCGGTCCCGGTCCCGGTGGGCAGGAGAAGCCGCGCTCCGGTCCCGGCCCCGCTCTCCGGCCGGGGGCAGCCCAGGCTCGCCCCGGGGCCCAGAGAGGGGCCGCAGCACTGCCCGGAACTGCCCCGGGGCCTCGCCGCTGCGCCCGGACACGTTGGGGGAATTCTGCTGCCAGCCCTGGCATGGAAAACTCCATCTCTGTGCCCGAGCCCGGAGCTGGTTCTCCTGAATCATCAATATTTCCCCTGGTTTTGATTCTGGTATTTTTAAAAGGATTTCTCCATCTTCAAAAACTATTTGTGCATTTAATTTGGATAATGAATATCCTCCTACCAAGGGTATCGGACAATCTGGTATGTACATAAATTCATGCATAATTACCTTATTTCCAAATTTTAAATCCAGGGGTTGAAAGAATGGCCTATTTTCTTGTTTTCCCAGTTGCTCCAATTGTATTAGCCATTTTATTTCTCAATTTCCCTTTACAAGTGTTCAAAACAGAGTATGCTGCTCCCGTAACTACTAAAAATTCCACTTTACCATTTCCCAGCTTAATTGTAACCGGAGGTTCAGCTGGGTTCCCCTCCAGTCCCCTTCAATCATCTGAAGTCATTATCCTTGCTGCTTCCCTCTGGCTTGTTTGCATTTTGAGGTAATCCTTTTTCCACTGTATCTCCTCTCTACAGTAATCTCTACATTGATTTATCCCTAAAGGTCCACAAGTTTCCCAGTCACCAAAGTCTCTAAAACCTCCTCTACCTCTATTTTGTCCCCCCTCTTGCTACATTCTCTATTACAGCAACCATTAGTCTATTCTCATTAACTTTCTCTTTTTTTCTCCTTTTTTTTTATTCATTGTTCCTCTTCCTTTTTTTCTGTTACTATAAACTTTCCATGCTGTTTCAAGTATTTTATTTAAATTTCTCAATTCCTCCCCTTCTAATTTTTGGAGCTGTCTCTTTTTATCAGGCGCAGATTGCCCCGTAAAAATCAAAGCCAATTGTTGTTCTGCTTCTGTCTCCAGCTTTAAATCAGTATATTCTCTACCAGTTTCCTGTGTTTCTGGAAAGATTAAAGAGGGAGATTTTTATCTTGTTTTACTTCATGCAATTTCAACCAATGTAAGGCTTTTGGCATTGCATGTTTTAACCCATACAATACCTGATTTTTACATAAATCAGCCTGTAATTCACCCCAGTGTGCTAATAAACACCTCACCGGTGATGTTTTTGGTATCTTTTCATACAATGTTAAATTCCCAGAACTCTTCCTCTTAAACAGTTTCACAATTCCTGATGCTGTTGCACAGTAAGAATTCTAAAAGAAATGTGAGCGAATACTCAAGAGGCAAATATTAACCAAAATATGCAAAAGAAAGAAAGAAAGGGAAAAAAAAAATGAAAAAAGGAAAAAAAGCAGTTAATAAAGAGAAATACAAACATATACAAAAAAATGCTAAACAAGATATGCGAAAGGTAGTTAAGAAGTCCAGACAAACTCCACAGATTCCAAATTCCATACAAAGGTCCAATCCTGCAAGAGCTTTCGCTTATGACTTACGGGAAGACGCCTAGGCTTCCAGTGCAAATGGGAACCCTTTAAGCCCCAACCATGCGCAGCTTTCGCCGTGCCTTACGGGCAGGCTATCCAAACCAAATTCCAAGAGAAGTGCCTTACCCTTTTCAAGGGAATGCTGCAAGAAGCTTTATGCATCGAGGGCGATTGGTCTCTCTGAGAATTCCTGGGTGCCAGCCGGAGTTCGATCAGCACTCGATCCTGTCCAGTCTCACTCTCAAGGTCCCATCTGGGTCGCCAAAACTGTTACCAGTCGCAATCGCGAAGAAAACTCATCTACACAAAGCAGATAAGCAGGCACTTCTTTATTCCAGCGCTGGGGAACACGGGGGATAGCTCCACCAAAGACATGTTTACCAACAGGTACAAAGCACAACATATACATACACTTTTTTAGCAGAGTCATTTTTACATAAGGTTCAAAAATGCATAGAATGCTTGCTTCTGAATTTGACCTTTATAATGATTGGCTTTATCAATGACCTTACCTTATCCATACTTCTAAGTAATCATTGGTTATCCTCACCGATTGTAATCCCTGATAATAAAATCAAAGAAGGGAGGGTAGTGATTAGTATATTCATGTTATTTCCTGGAAATCATTATCATATACAAACAAATGTCTCTAACGCAAGTGTGGTTATGGTGGCTGGGGGTCCTCTGGTGGTCGTCGATAGTCTTCCTCACTGTGTCCGCTGATCGAACTCCATCCTTGCCCAGGCTCATTTCATCCTTTGGCTGATCTTTCAAACCAAACCCAGTATCTTCTGGTACCCATCATTTTAATTCAGAGTCCATAACTATTTCCATAGGAATCGAGGCAAACGCAGTACTAGTTGCTCATGCCTAAGATCTTAACATACCCTATGTTCTCACAGCTACTATAACTCTGCAGCACCCATATAACCAAAAATATTCTAAAATTCAAGCTATTTCATTACCACATTTGTAAATTGTAACATTTCCCCCCTTTGAAAGTTTTGAAAATCATTTCAACACTTTCATAATTTAACTATTAAGATATTCTTGCTTTGTACCAGTTGGTGAACATGTCTTTGGTGGAGCTATCCCCCGTGTTCCCCAGCGCTGGAATAAAGAAGTGCCTGCTTATCTGCTTTGTGTAGATGAGTTTTCTTCGTGATTGTGACTGCTAACACTTTCTTTTGAAGAGTTGATCTGAAATATAGCATATAAGAAGTTATTCGAGCCTTACAGCACTGACACCTGCACTCTGAGTGAGGTGAAAAACTGAAGATCATGTAATAACTGATTTTAATATTATGCAGAGGTGATGGTCTGCATTTACTCCCATCTAGTGATTTCTGTGTAGTTACACTGAAATTATATTGGCAAAAGGCAATATTCAAGTCTCTCTGGTATGAAACACGAGGGGAAAAAAGACCCACCACCATTTATCTGGAGCTCAGTTCTCAGCGCTTAAAGCATACACATGCAGTTAACACCAGTTTTGGCTGCACAGGCTGATCATCACCGTTATCTTCCCAGTTAAATGCCTTGTTCACGTGGCACATTTCCACTTATATCCTCCTCTCTCTTTGACATAAAATGGTATCAAGAGCCCTTTTAAACACAAGTACAGTTCCAAGGGGATTGTAATGAGCTTGTCTGGGAGGAGGCTACACCATGATTTACAGCAAGCAAAGTAATATGAGACAAAAAAAGGTAAAACATTTTAGATTGATTTTCTTATAGGTACCCTCTTTTAGGTCACTCAGAGCTACATGTTAGTTCCTATGAATTTAATCAATACTTTCAGCCACAAAATAAAGTTTAAAACATTTTGAGGAATATAGAATGAGATAAATTTAATTTCACAGGGGAAAAACACATGCAAACTTTTTTTTTTTTTTTTTTTTAATTAAGCCACCAGGACAAAATATGTGGTTTCCATGGCTCTGATATGGAAAAGAAAACCTTTACTCTGGCATATGGTGATGCAGATCCTGCTTCACAAAGGCTCTGCGTACATAAATGCTAGTTGTTACATGACAGATCTCTGTTTGGCCAAGGAAGCTCTGCTTGGGCCACACAGCTAACGTTGGCCACAGGACACATCAGGATCCCACTGTGCCAGTTTAAAATTACACATTTGATAACTGTTTCTCATTTTAGGAAGTTTAAAAGAGTACAAGTACAGTAACAGTATTCTACTGAGCATAATCTCAATTTAATTCATCATAAGGACAAAGAATGTAAGAGCAAAACCAATCTGACGTTAGCACACTAATTAACAAAGGCACAGTTACAACTAACACAGCTGTGTTGCTCCTGAGATTCAAGTGAGTATCTCTGCACAGGATTACAGAGATACTTTGTAGAGGATATTCTTTTTATATCTGTTAATTGTAATGGATCTAACATCAGAAATGAGGGGCAGAGAATCATTCAAAAATGCACCATTTTATGAACATAGTTTATACTTACCCTTTAAACGTTAATTTTCTACATAAGGAATTCCTGACTCACAAGGATTATTTTGTTCCTAATCCATATGGTTAATCAGTAACCAATTTAGGGGCCGGAGTGGCGGGAGCTTACTCAATGCTCTTTCTCCTCAGAAGCAAGGAACAGATAAAAAGGAAGGAATGGCAGCATGTGCCAAACAGAGATGTATTCTCCTTTAGCAGCATGACATAAACTCATGCATACCCCAGGCCAATATATAAGAAAGCAGCAGCAGATTTTTCAGATAGTTATTTTTCAAGCCATGGATTGTTTCAGTCCTGCCCTGTCACACACAACACTCTCTTTACATCTACAGCCTCAGAAGTCATGAAACCTAGGGTGCTCCGTACACAGTTACATTAAGCACAGCTCCTCTCAAGTTCTTAAACACATTATAAGGGTCACAGACAACCAAATCCTAAAGCATGATCCTCAAAACTCTAAAGGCAGTCTTAGATAATGTCTGTGCTGTGCAATGCTGAGCTACCTCAGCAAAGGCACTGAGAAAGATGTTTTGCCGGCAGCGGTACAGCTGTGTTAATGCAGCTCTGTATTAACAGGTTTGGGAAAGGGATTGTTCTTCATTCAGCAGCTAATTTAAGGATCTCTGGGCAATGACAAGTGACACAGTGCAAACTTATACTCAGTGCATGTCACCTTCCTGGCAAGATACAACTATCTGGCATTCAGTCTCTACCTGAAGTCCCCCCAAGGTGGGTGTTTACGCTCCTGCGGGATGTCATCCCATAGGCATATCCGACATATACTGATTTAGCCGAGCTTAGCACAGAAAGCCATAGTCACTCAACATCTGAAGATCCTTTTCACCCAAGCTTAAGTCCTATCTCTGAGCTGTCAGGTCATGATTTCTCTTTTGGACCAAGTGAACTTCATTTTTCCCCCAGAAGAGTAACATTGAAAAAAAGAAGAAAAATCATCTATTTAGGATTTAACAGTTGGCTCTTTAGTCTTTAGTCATATATCTGCTTTTTTTTTTTTTTTTTTTTTTTTTTTTTTAATTGAGAATTGGTACTATCAAGGAATACCAATGTTTTAAAATCAGTTTTTCAGAGGACACTCCCGTTCTCAAACCATCCCTGCTTGATAAAAAGTCTCTATCCCTTGCCTGACTGGGCACAGCTGGAAACTATTTCTTAGTTTGTTAATGTTAAGCCTGGATACAAGATGTATTAAAAATAGACAGCAGAAAGATACATGACAATAAAGGCCAGCTTTAAGAATCTATGTTTTAATTTGTTGCATTTCTCAGTTTAATAAGTCAGCCTTTACAACAAGGAGTAAAGTATCAAAGTCTTACAGATTCCTTAAAGCCAACCAACCAACCAAGTAACTTAGCAACCATCCAGGCTTTATTTTTTTTGTTGTAGATTATTTTAAATTATCACTAACCTTGCTACAAAACTTCCAATTCCATAGGCTCTACATTGCCTAACTTCAGATACAGTCCAAAGCTTGGGAGTCTGAGGTCCCTTCCACTACTAATAGGCATCATTCAGCATAGCATACACAGGTTAGTCTTTTGTCTTCCTAAATTGTTGTTGCAGAGCTAAGGAGATGGCTGAATAAACTTAATTAAATACATTAGGAGACTAATCAGATTTCCATTTCCTACAGTATAATTCCTAACCAGTGCAATTCTATAAATATTAACTGCATTTTCTAAGAGATGTTTTCTGATTCTACAATTACTAACCTAATGAGCCAGTATAGTGTTAAACTCAAGTCTTTAAAAGAACCCAATCACACAGGTTATTTTATAGTTACTAAAAGAACAGAAGAAAAGCATTTACCAGAACAGCCACAATGGATCGCCAGGAATCCAGCCTCAAAGTCTCTCCATGTTCAGGAAAAGGTAACCTCTTTCTGCCATCAGAGATTATACATCCCACACGTAAATCACTACTTGCAAGGACTCAGTAGATATATGTATCTGAGGGCAGGAGGGGAGCACTGTGCCAAAACCCCCAGAGGCAGCAAAACTAAACAACGGTGTCTTTGTGGGTGGAAGGCCTGATCAAACTATTATTGAAATCAATGGGAGCCTTTCTGGTGGTTTCCAGGGGCATTGGATGAGAGCCACAATACACTACAAGCAGTACCGCTAACTCTCAAAACCAGAAATAAGAGCACAAAGGCGTTAGTTTCTCATTTAGAATAGCAGTCTACCCACTGATTCCTCCTACCTTTTTACAGAACAGAGGGACGACCTTGCTCCAATCCCCAGTGCTCGTCTCAGGAAGCTGGGAGGTAAGATTTCGTACAACTTCTTAAATGTCAAGCTTTCATCTTGAAGAGGACCAGTCTGGGAAAGTAAAACAGCTGCCAGGCTGGACATTGTGGACTTACAGTGTAGAAACTATTGAGGACAGCAAAGAATACAAGCGTGCACTACAATAGAAGGCAAGGAGAAAACTGCAAAAGAGAAAGCTCTGACAAATTTGTTCCCGTCAGACCATCAGCTGTGTACCTGTGGCTCCCCAAGCCTGCTAGGAAGCCCCCTTCTTAACCCTCTGCCCAAGAGGTCTGTCTGTATGCGTCAGTTTGTCCAATCTCAGCCTTCTGGAAACTGCTAGTGGCCGGCAGCATCTCTGCCACATATATACAGGTTAGTACCTTTCAAACACATGGACGGATTCTGGGAAGATTGCTTGCTTTTTTTTGTATTCAGAAAAATAGCCGCTGGGGCACTGCTGAATTGGAATTTTCTGAAATGTATTTATGCAAAATGTAAAATGTTTAGGGTTGATCGAAACTAGTGCACTCTGGGCAGTTCAGCACATCATGTAAGAAATTCAGCTGTTGACTACTGAATTTGCACTATTTCTCACCTCTATGAAGTATATAGCAGGGGGTTGGGGAATAACAACCCAAACCCATTAAATAGTTATATTTAGGGTAATAACAATTATGCCAATTTCCCCATGGACAGTGTTCTGGCTCTTTCTCAAACAGGCCAGCTCAAATAGCAGTGTTATTTAGTTGGCCATTTTTGCCTTTAAGAACTCAAAAATAAATGTGTGTCTCCTCCTAAACATAGCGCATGTGTATTCTGTGTGGAACTGTAAACCTCCAGCCACTCCCTCTCAGATAAGCATGGAGTTATAAAACACCTTCCTGCTTTTCAGCAGAATTGTGTTGTATTTGGGAAAAAAGGAAATCCTAGAATTATTATGCACATCTATAGAGGTGAGCTTGGCATGCAGCGTAAGAGTCCAGCTTTGAACTCTGCAGAATGTAACTGGGAAAACTATTGAGCTACTTAGCTGTGGGGCTGGAGATGGAGGGCATTTTCAGTCGGCTAGCTATGCTTGCTTTTGTGCAAGGCAGTTATTTAAGAAGACTCCATACTTCCCAGGGCATGCATTTCTTTAATAAGCTCTTTCTTTGATTCTAACAGCCTGTAAAACATTCCTAGCCAATTCTTTTCAAGTTCTCAAGTCAAGCTTTAAGCAAAAGGTGACCAAGACTTGCCCTCATTGCTCCACAGGCAGAGAGAGGCACTATGAACAATGAGACTGAAACAAATCAGGGGGGAAGTGTGTAATGGGGAAGCGTATTTCTGCACTGAAGGGGGTGTATTGCAGCACTGTGTGAGACATGTACATACACCATGCAGGCCAAAGCGGGGGCACAGCTGGGGAGAAAGGAGCTAGCCCAGCCTTTTCCTCTCTCTCCTAGATCGTTCTCTCTCTGAACTCATGGAGAGCAGCTCCTCCGCAATCTGAAGCAGGATCGCTCTCCGATCTGTATTACCTAGGAGATGGCACTTGTTCAGATTTTGAGGCTATTGGGTGACGGTATTTCTCAGGAATTGCTCTGCCTGCTTCCGCTTCCCATTGAAGGGTGGCTTTTTTCACGTGCCAAGAGGAAAGGAGATAAGCTTTGGTACACAGCCTTGACCCAGAAAAGGGAAACGTGGTTGTGAGATGATAGCAAACCAACAGACTAATTTTCACTGTGGAACTGTCCTGGGATGGATGCCTGGGATGTGCTCCAGCAGCACTTCTGTGCCTTTAATTGTGTGAAAATTGTGGCTTTTTTTTTTTTTTTTTAATTGGGCTGGAAAAATATCTTTTTCACAGAAAACACCCTCCACTCTAAAGACAATAGTCAGAGACCAACTATAGCAAGAAGAGGAACTGCTCCCGTGCGCTGCTTGATAAAGGCGCAGAGCTGGGGCTGAAGGACGAGCCGCCCAGCACAGCCCCAGCTCCTGCCCACCCCGCCGGTTCCCCTCGGCCCGAGGAGGTGAAGCAAAGCCCGGCCGGAGCAACTCTCGCCAGGCACCACGGCCTGCCCCCGGGGCGGCAGCGGGATTCCACACAACCCCTGCAAGCCGCCCCAGCTAAAATAACCCCCGCGGCCGCTGAAGCCCCGCCGGAGGGCACGTCCCCGTTTGCACCGCGAAGCTCTGCCTTCTCTCCTCTCCTAGCGCGCTGCACAACCGCGCAACCCTCGCGGGGAGCGGAGCTGCCTCCCCTCAGCGCCTCGTTCCGCCTAAAAAGGCGGCCCTGTCCCCTCAGCTGCTGCAGCACAGACCTCCTGTCCCCTCAGGTATGGGAGAGCTCCCGTCAAACGCCAAGAGAAAGTAACAAAAAACCTCCCCACAGTATCGGCTGGTTCACAGACCAAACCCAGCCTTACTCCTAAGAGGGCGGGGGGGTTGGGGGGGTGGGTAGGCGGGAGGGAGAAGCGCGGCGTTGGAAAAACCCCCGCCGCGGGGCGGGGCAGCGGCAGCACCACGGCCCGGAGCCCGCCGGAGCCCCCGCCTCCCGCCCGGCCCCTCAGGCGGCCGGGGGCCGTCCCAAAGGCCGCCCTGGCCCCGCGCATGCGCCCCGGCCCCCCGCCGGACCCCGGCTCTCGGCGGCAGCGCAGGTGAGCGGCGGGAGGGCGGGCGGGAACCGCGTCTCTCGTCCCGGCCGGCGGGGCCGCTCCCCTCTCCTTTCCTTCCTCCTCTCTCCAAACCCCGCAGCGTGAGTTCTGCGCCCCCCGCTCGCGGAGCCTTCCCCCCGCGGCCGCGCTCCTGCCGCCGCCACCTCGCCGGTCGTGCCGCGCTCGTCCTCGGTCAGGGCCCGCCGCCGCCATGGTCGGTTACCCCTGCCTTTATGTAACTGCCTTCCCCCCCCGCCCCCGCCTCAGGTATAACGGGAAGCGGGCTTGCTTGGTTTTGGCCGGGCGGGGTTTTTTTTGTTCCTCCTCGCAGCCCTGCCCGCCGTGAGGGGACGGCCCGGACCCCGCGGCTGCGGGCGCTCCCTCAGGGAGCTAACGGGCCCGGCTGCCTTCCGTTGCGAACGGTTACAGCCGCGGCCGCCTTCAGAGACCCGCACCGAGCGTGTGGATTTTTTTTTTTTTTTTTTTGTAAATTCACCTAGAATTGGCGCAGGGCTGGGTCGGGGGCCCTCATGAGAGCACGCAAAGGTGGCTTCTCCTCGGCATCCAAGCGCTTAAGGCTTTGGGAGGCACCCGTGGGGCCCCCCCACTCACAGAGCTCATAATTGCAATCTGATTCAAGTATGGAGGCAAAAATTACGCAAATAAACTGAGCTGGGAGTCCACACGTTTCAAAGTGCTGCGTGTAATTCACTACCATGGAGACTGCAGCCCAAAAAACTGTTCAGCTTAGTTTTGACATCTTGTAATGGATAACAAGTAGAGTTGCTTCAGTTACCCCAAACCAAGTATTGCTTGTGTTAAAAAAACAGCAAAAAATTACCTTTTGCTACCAGGGAGAGCCTCAGGAGTTCCTAGCCTCTCCTTCCTTTTCAAATAAATAAGAATTTTGGATGCCCTGGCTCTTTATATTGCCTTCTTGAGTTTCTTTCCTGCTTTGATGGGCTCCATCTTCACTCAAGCCGATTACTTACTAGCTGTTGGAAACTATCAGTTAATCAGGCTCTTATCCTTAAGGGGTGTAGAGGTGGTTCACAAATCAAATAGGGCTTCCTACTTCATAGATCTGTGTTTCTTCCTTTGCCTAGTCATTCTCATGTGTTTTGCAGTAGTAAAAGTTATAAAACTCAGAGATACCTGGACTGTTGTAAAGGTTTCTGGAAGTATAATCAAGAAACAATTCACATGTGTGACAATAGAAAAGTACCACGGCAGGTAAAATAGCTCATCAAATGTTAACAAACTAAACCAGCTGTGTCACATATGTCTTTGATTGCTTGTAATGGAGGCTAAACTGTAAAAGCCACCTTCTTTAAGCATTTGGGTCTGAGGTTTTTGAGTTAGTTTGGGCTGATTTCCCCTATAATCTCTGTGTGAATTCTTGTGCTTTGTCTGCTTTGTAACATGCCAAGATTGTACCTGCAGTTTCTGTGCAGCACGTGATTAGCAGTGTATTCGTGACCTGGTTTATTTTATAAATTGTTAGTGAGATGTCAGTACGCTCTAGTTGGTCATTTGCTTGTAAAAGCATGTTTAACCAGCGCGGTCACAAGAGGATGCAGTCATTGTGTAATGACTGCTGGTGACTTGATGCAAGGTAGCATACTACCATGTTAGCCAGTGTCTTAGTTCTTCCTCAGCAGGTTTCACCAAACCGATTTTGTAATAATTTCCTGTATCAATAATTGGAGCTTCTTCCCTTGTGAAGCCCTTTATCTTGTATTGCCTCTGTCACCTCCCACTTTCAAACAGATTTTGAAGGAGCCTTGCAGCTCTGGGACGAAAGGAAGATGCTATTGCTGTATGGCTTTGAGCCATTTGACTTGTGGGTGTAATGTGAGGCAGCAGCCTCAGTGAATCTCATCTAGGTGAGAGAATATGATGATAGTTGGCAGCTGAGGCAGGGAGCCCTGAGAGGGTGGGGCTGGTGGGTGGATGGGAAATGGTGTTTGGCTACAGCTCTGGTGGGTACCATGCCTTGATTTACATGCCCAGGCCAAAGGGCAGCTGGCAAATGACTTAGAAATTATTCTGCTCTCTCGTTAACACTTCTCAGGAAGGGCTGGACTAAACACTGCTGTGGAGACCATTAAACTACTGTTGATTTAATCAGGTCCATCAGGGAAGACAGTAGTGCCTCTTCTTGGTGAGGGCTTGTTCTGAGTTCTGACAAATGTAAAGTACTAGTTAATGTTTTTATTACGTACGTGTCAATGCTTTGCTATGCTCCCAATAACTGCACTGATTTGCAGTGTTTTGTGTTCTACTTTTTGGATATGCTCAAGGTTACCTTGCATAAATAAATCACTTCTTAAATATACCTGTATCTGCAAAGCAGAGTCCTTTGCTATTTTGGGGCTTCTGATGGGTTTTGATGGTTGTTCTGAAGCAGAAGTAAATCATGGCATATCAGGTTGGTTGTTTGGTTTCGATTATGCAAAATTGAACAAAATTGTCAGCCTGTCATCCCATAAAGCCCAGGAGACAGTTGGCCTTTCTGGTGTTTGATGGAAACTGGGATTAAACCTCAGTGCAACTTTGAGCATATTCATATATTGGATCAAAGGAGCAGTCAGGAAGCTATCTCAAAACAGGATAAAGCGATCTTCCTAAGCAGAACTATTTGCAAAATGAGATTTTATCTGATTATGCTTTTCATGCTCTACAAAACTCCTTTTCTGTCCTTTTTCTGTTGCATTTTTCCAAGAAAGAACAGTCCTCATTCACTGTCTGTGTGTCTACAGCACTGATGGAGTTTTGATTATAGAAGAAGATGAAAGATGGTGCCAGCTGTACCTATTTCATTGTTTTCTAAACTACCTGAGCGACAAGTAACACAAAACAATCGTAATACATGTTAGTTGTTGTTACAAAGAACCTTTTAAATACTGAAAGGATCTAGACATTTTGTATTAGTGTTGTCTAAGAAAATTTTTTATTAATTTCTACAAAAGCAAGCCTGGTGGTTTTAAACAAGCTAAACCAGTTAGATGTGTGGTTTCTGATTTTTTTTTTTTTTTTTTCCTGTTAAATTGACTTTCTGCTGAAAAGTACAGTAGGCTTAGGCTTGCAAGTTCAGTGTGTAACTTGAACTTTCCCATGTTTTCCAACCCTATCTGACTTGACCTCATTAGCATGGGCA